TTTCATTGTTAAATTTCAATACCGCCATCGTTTTATGCGTACACGGATACGTAATAATATATTACGAGGAAACACGTGTCAACATAAATATTCTATTTCTACGTTATTCTTTTCATTGAATAATTTATATCGTCTAATAAACTCTGTCTATTTTTATTCGATTTCGCAACGAGTAATTCTTAAATCATCAATCATTTTCATTGTTTCAATCGAAAATTGTTCTCTTCCCACGAATATTTATTTAAACGTCCCGCAAAAGTTGAATTTGAAGATGTTATAGATCTGAGTGAAAACAGGAGAATAAACAGCGAATAAAATATAATAAATATAATTAGAGATCTTCAGGAATCATAGGTTAAATTATGCGTATACGTTTGTCAATTAAACGCGAGGTAATCTAAATGTTATATCGTTAATTACACACGTCATACGATTTAATTGGAAACAATTATTAAGCGCGCATCACTTTTTGCACACGGCTCGCCTGCTCGTAATATTCCTTCATTAACGAAATGAATAAATAATCATTAACGCGATTGCATCAAATTCGTTGTTGGCACACGATCGCGCAATATAATGACACACGGTTGATTTGTAAATTTAATATCAAAACTTGATGACTTTAATTTATATTTTGTTTAATTTTAATTGTTCGCATTGTTAAAAATACCTTCGTCCGATTAATAATATTTCTCTTGCTTCGTGAACCCAAACGCGTTCAACAATTCGATTAATACATATTTACAACATATTCCTTAATTATAAATAAATAATCATAAAATCGTAATTGGAAAGAAGAATTTAAAATATCTTAAAAGAGAAATCAACCTCTCCTTTTTTCTCGTATGTCACATATATACGATATAATACAATCTCTTCTAATCTAATATTACAACATTCGTGTGAACAGGAGCGACAATAGAAACTCGAGTAATCAAGCGGCGTGTTCTCGTTCTCGAATAAACGCAGTTCCAATCAAGCGAACAAAGAAAAAAGCGCTCTCGTTCGAGTCAAAGACGAGGATCCCGTGACAATTCGTGATTTCCCTCTTACCATCGCGTCAAAGTCGGCTCGTTCGTACTTTCCTTCCGCACAATCCCTCGACACTTTGCAAAAGGAGAATTACTCCGCACGACAAACTCCCCAGTTTTACACGGCTCGACTTATTCGCACACGATCCGAACCAACTCCATAATTATTCCTGTCGAATTATTTATTCGTTAAACCTACGTGGATACGTTTTTCTAGAATTTTTCTTCTCTTTTCATTCGTAGGAATCAAAGTCTGTTTGAACTATTTGCTTGCGAAAAAAGGGATTTTTTTGGACATCGATTTTAGAGTCTTTAGAAAGAACGGTCAATATAAGTTTCTTTCAATCGATACTCGAATTTAACTTATTATAAGCACAAGTTTAATTCATACAAATGAAGCTTCGTTTTAACAATATATATTCATATTAGACGAAATATACTTTATCGTTCATTTAAATTAAATAGAGTCTGAGGGAATTTTAATTTTATTAATATTAATAGCAGCAGCATTTATTATTAGGATACGTTCTTGCAAATTTATTATCAGCTACTCCTTACATTGGAGATGCAATTGTTCTATGAATTTGAGGAGGATTTTCAATTTTTTTTCCAATTAACAGGATCATCTAACCCAATTGGCTCAAATTTTAACAATTATAAAATTTCATTTCATCCGTATTTTTTCAATTCCAAAGATTTATTAGGATTTTATATTCATTAACATCCACATCGTAATCATCCTTCTCCTCGATGCTTCATCTTTAACGCCCAATCATCGTTGAAATTATCGGTCGAGCCACCTCCGAATACGGTCATAAATCAAAATTCCTTTCCTCCTCGATAACGGTGTTCTGACGAGGAAACGATAGCAAGCGAAAGCTTTAGCTCTTAATCTGTTTTGTGTTTCCCTCCACGGGTATAACTCCGTGGAAAGTCGGAAGACTCGAAACTTTTTGAATCGGGACAGGTAACCAGGCGATTTGTTTCGCCAGGCGAGGCACGCGAGAAACGTGTATCAGCGATAAATTATTCTAATCTACGGCTCTGTCGCCGATCCCTCATTCTTTAATCTCGTTCCATGCTCGATTCTATCTCGGATGAGGTAAATCTTCGATTGGGCGCCGGTTTAGTGTCGGGGAGAGGAGAGAATGTTTGAGTTGAATATTTATATTCGAGGAAAGAGTTCAATTTTTGTTTCGTTTGTTAACCCTTTCCGCTTCAACGATGAGACCACTTGGATCGATGCAGCAATTCGACGATATTTATTTTGAAATATCGCTTCGCGAATAGATTCCTAAGATCTTTAAATACAGTCTTGCAAAGCGTGGAATAACATACTATATCGAATGGTTAGGTTTTTTTAATACGAAATTAAACCGTGATCCGAGTTTGAAATAATGAAAGATTAGAGCGAAGATGAGTTTTTCGTTGAATTGAAATTATTTCCATTCATGAAGAAATTGACGACTATGGAGAGAAAGAAAATAGTAGATAAAAATAGAGATGTAATATAAGAAGATGAAAAATAAGGATAATAGACAGTAAATGAAAGTTATTGGGATAATGTAAGATATTTTGTAACGATATTTCATTGTGATCGAGGATGCTTCTTAGTAATTACTTTATTATTCAAATATCACAACAATATAGATTTTTAATATTCAACAAGTTATCTCTCTTTGTACGTAAAGACGGATAAAATATTAAAACGTAAAAGTTTTATATATTAATTTGTGCGTGAAATAATTTTAATTCTTTTGCTGTAAGAATGATTTTACTTAGGATTCAGGCAAAAGTCGAGCAACAAATTTAATAAATTAGAACTTTTTTTTTTTTAGAATCGCAACACGAGACAATCGTTGCGAAATCGTTATTGCAAATAATTGATCGATATTTAGATCACGTTGACAGAGATACATTCCATTCGATATAATATATAGCAGTATTTCATTTACATCGACAACTATCCTAAATCACAGAGCGCATTTGGTAATCCCAGTCAGTAGTTACGGGCTGATATAGATCAGGCATTCCACACCGTGCCCCAGTGATCCATACTTAATATTAACCCTACAGCGTTGTACACGAGATACGGGATACGATACAGGATATATCGTCTCAATGGTATCTTCCATTTTACCAGGATTAAAGATGCGTATCTTGGATAGAAATTCACGACACGATTTCTCATAACGGCATGGAAATTATCACCATCTTGTGCAACGTAATTCGAGAGAGAGAGAAGAAAAAAAAAAAGAAAAAAAAAAGAAAAAGGAACGAAACGATTATCGAAAATCATTTGGTTGCATTATTCTCCTTATTATTAAATAATATCGTGACGATTACTCGACAGAGACAAATGGAGAGAAAGAGAGAGAGAGAGAGAGAAATTCAGGCGTGAATCGAGAAGAGAGAAGAAAAGAATCGAAAAGAGGAAAACTGACGGAAATAAATTACGGAATATTGCATCGAGGGGAAAGTTGCGTTGAATGATATTCATTAGGGAGATGCGTTCATTTTTCATTCGAGTTAGTAAAATAAAAAAAAAAAAAGAAAGAAAGAAATCTCACGTGTTACGGGCGGAATGCTTAGTGGGAGGGGATGGAAAGATGTGAAAAAAGGAAAAGAGAGAAGTCAGCGGGGAATTGAATGGAATTACGAAAGGGCGGCACACACGTTTCACACACGAATTTTAACGATCATAGTTTTAACGAAAAAAAGACCACCCGGTGTGATTTATGAGCGAGAAGTATCAAGATCGTAATTCACCGAAAACGATTTTGATTTTCCCTTTTTCCCTCCGTTTTATAATTCATAGATCATGCTTAACTTTCGTAAACTTTACGCTGTGAAATTGAACGTTAAGAAATTCTTGGTATCATCCGAAAAACATTAATCTTCGCTTTACATCCATTATCCGGTTGGTGGATTCGGTGGAAATCGTAACTCGTTATTTAATCTTCCTGTTCGAACCACGTGTGGCACATCTTTTGTGCACGAGCTTGTGACAGCTCGTAGTGTGTATACGCCATATAGACTCGGCTTGAAGCGATTTATCTTTTACTTTGTTTCTCGTCTACACGTGTCACGGCCGGCTCGAATATGTTCACAACTTTAAACGTCCATTTCGCCGCCTTGCGCACACACAATGGATCCCGATTAAATTTACACGGCCCACTCTTCCAGGCTAAGTTCCTAGCCGCGATCCACGCTTGACAATGGTCGGTCGTGTAATGATTCTCGGCTGTCGAGTCAGCCGATGTTAAACTCGTTAAACTGCGAGTTAAGACAGGGATCCTGTGGAAGGTGCAAAGGTCTCAACTATCTATTTATATAATAACAACAAGATCTCCCCTCTCTGACGAAATTTTCGTCCTTTCCAAGTAACTTAATTATTCTAGGTTCTTTCGAGATTCTTCGATTTTTAATAATTTCTCCTCCAGCGAGGATTATTTCAACGTTGCTACATCTTATTTCCCCTTTGAGGAAGAAACTGATCTATCCGTGGAACAAAACATCTTCGAATTACTCCGTGAAAATAATAATTTACTTCGTTCAAAGGGAATGTCTCGTGCATACTTCGAGGCAAGGAAACGAAGAGGAAGGATAAAAGCTATAAATTCAATTTCGAGATGCTCAGAACGATTCTATCTTTCCCCTTGAAATGGGGATGGCTCGATTCCTGGCGGAAACAATCGGGGGAAGGGGAGGCACGCACGAAAAGAACGCCAAAGGAGGAGGAGGAGGCGCAGGGGGATCGTATTTCACGCCCTTTCGAGACCTCCATTCGAAGGGACGAGATGTCCCCAGGTAAACGAATACACGATTCGAGCCAGGATTATTCTCTTATCGCCATCTTCAGCGCGAGGAATAGCAAAGCAGGTAGATAGATTTAAAAAATTAATCGATCGTTCGATTGGAAACTTGTTTGGAGAAGGATTAAAAGTTTTGCATTATACGGACACTTACCATGAACATCGAGCTTGATGTCGACGGCGAGAGGCTCGACGAGGGCTGTACTGTTGACTTTACACGTGAAAGTTGTGTTGAGCTCGTCGCGTGTGATTTGCATCTGCAGCAAACTACTCGCGTTCCCTATCCCGCTCTCGGCTATCGTCGTCGAGCTGGACGCTGGAACAGGGCCGATCAAACGTGTGATTTCAGATATGCGTTTCTATATCGAGTTTCCGCGCAGGGGCACAACGGGTTGATTGTTTGGGAATGATTTGGAGCCGAATCCGAGTACGATGATGAGCGTCGATGCGAGTGGAATTTGACGAGAGAGAGGATTCGTGATCCTTCGTGTTTGAAATACGTACGTGTGTCGATGAAGCAAACGCGATGCTTTAACCGTGGATCGATTGAAGCTTTTCTTCGAAAGAGGCTTGAAAAATTACTCGGATGCAGAGAGACGCGTAAAGATTTCTACTCTGTTTCAATTTTGATTATGTGAGATGTGCATAATGTCGGGGGAATCGCGTGATCAAGAATCAAGATTTCCGTACAATAATATCGAAATCTAATATACTATAACTCGATATACCATGATTTGCTTGTGATATGAGCGACGGTTTCTATTATCGTGGAACGTGTGACGAATACGAGATTCTTGTTTCTAAATAAGACCGACGTCGGAATATAATTTTCAAACGTAATCTTTTACTCCTCTTTTCGATTTTTTGATAATCGTAAGAATATTTCTCGAAATGTATGTATTGTATCAACTTCCTTTTGTAATCTTGCAAAATGAGTTTTTTATAATATTTTAAGAAATATACGATGATCATCAAAAAAAAAAGAGCGTTGCGATTTCTCTCTAAAGCTTACCTTCCACGGGTTGCTCGTTCTTGAACCACTCGACCGTAGGCACCGGTTTCCCCTCGCCGCTCTCGCAGTACAAGGAGATCACGGAGCCTTCGTTTATAGGCCCCAGAGTGGCGCCGGTGCTTAACGTCTTCTTCGTCGTCTCGTCGATGACGCGTACGAATGCAGGTTGAACTGTGAAGAGAGAAACGAGAGAATTCGGTCAATTACACGGTTAAAAAGCGTCTTCGGCTCGTTCTACTGTTATTGGCCACTGTTCGGCACACAGGCCGCTGTTTATCGAACAGAATCTCACGTTGTTTGGTCAGCTCCCTCGCCGACTTTCTCGAAAGCAAACCGAACGATTCAATATTGATTGCGAATACAAGTTCCCTTAGTTATAACAGCCCAGTTTAATCCCCTATCTGTATTAATCTCTCCTCGGCCGATTTGAAACTTAAGAATGCATTTGCATATTGTTGCGGATTTTAGAAATATTTTGTATGAAAGTAATTTTTATAGAAAAAGGAAAAATTGGAGGGAAGTGTAAGATGATTTATCCTCGATTATTCTTTTATAATTAAAGAAGAATAGTTTTTAAGAGATAAATTTTTTTGTAAAGTTGAAGTTGACGAACATTATTTCGTTTCATTTATGTTTATTTATTGGAAAATTCAAATAAATAACTTTTGCGAATTTTTGTGCTCAAAATCACGGAAAGTAATTGTAAATTCTTGAATTCGTTTTAATTTGATTAATGAGCTTGAGAAAAATTGCTTATCATATCAAGTGAGATAATTAATATAAGTTAGATGGAATAGAGTAGAAAAATTGAAACTAATAATAATATTAAGTTTTCTGTATCGATACTTAATAATTCATGGAATACACCTCTAAACCTTTCTTCAATTAATCTGAATTGTTCTAACATGATTTTGGATAGGAATTCAATTCTTGAATCTTATAAATACATACTTATGCATGACTTCTAATTGTATCTCACAATATTAAATAAAAATTAGAATTAAACGTTATTAGATTTTACATTAAATTAATAGTAGACTTAATAAGACAATAATAACAAAATATATAATATTCATACCAATAGGAAGATAGTTTTTAAATATCTTACTAAAATCAAATTTAATTTTCACGTAGAGTAAGATAAATGGTATAACCATATTAAGATTTAAATTTGTGAAATATTTTAAGGAAAGATTCCATGAAATTCTTTAGTGCATATTTTAATACAAACTCAGTTAACTTACGTGTAGAAATTGAAGACGGATATTCGAAATACTATAAAAGAACGACAGATTGACAGAGGAATTTATGCGATAATAAATGTCAGATTGAAATATATTTTCAAATATTTTGGAAACGAATATTTTGAAAATCTGTGTGAAAGCTAAATGGCTATTTGATATGAGAGTATGAGAATAAATCTTCTTAAGGATGAACACTTGGTGTAAAGTTTGAAGAGTTTGGAGGGGGAGGGAAGAGGAGAGTTTAGAAAGAAAAAGAAGAAAGAAAAAGTTTTGAAAGCATTAGGAAACCGAGTATTAGATGTGTCTAGTTTCAATCATAGTTTATCTAACTATATATATATACGTATTGTTAATATAATGTTAATATAATAATACTTGTTTCGAAAGAATAGAATACAAAAATTGCAATACTTTTATATATAGGTTTAATGAACTTGGAGTAAAACTTCTCTGTTTGTAATTTTAACTATTTTCGTTTAAACTATTTTGACATGTAAAAAAATGAATTATTAATAATTTTATGGGAGATTTAACTAATTAAAAAAAAATAAATTCGTTATTGACGTAGAATGTTAATAAAAGGAAATGTTGTTAAAAGAAAATTATTGATTTATTCCAATAGAAAAACTGATTAAATTCTAATAATAATTCAATTATTCGATCATTCAATATTTATTGGCGAAAATTTGGAACGAATATTGAAAATTCATATATTTTTCATATTATTCATATATTTTATATTTTTCTTTTCTCCATTTCAACATTAATTGTGTCCAATATTCGATGGAAAAAAAAAATCGAAACGGTCAATTTTCCTCTCGCTCATATTTTAATTTATTTAAATTTCCGTTTAATTTCCTGTTCATCAATCTCGTTTCTCGTCGATTAATAGCTAATCGATATCGTCGCACTTCTAATCACGCGAACTCCCATAAATTTCGACTTTAATATCGAATATCAATCTCGTCGCCTTTGTCTCACGAAAGAATATTTCGCTCGATTAACGAGTGAATAATGAACGTTCTAATAAATTTTCGATTAGGGACGTAATCAACGTGATGTTTTCTTGCCGTATAGTTTCGTCACTTGTATCGTTCGTTTCAACAAACAAACTGGAATTTTTTTATTAACTTTGCGAATAATATTTTTTGAAAAACAACCTAGAATTTAATATATATATATATTTGCCATTACAAATCGACGATTTATAAGCGAAAATTTTTATAATTTTATTAAATTGTTCGAGAGAGATGTTATAAAGTAAATTGATTTTGTAAAACTACAGAATAGAAAAGTTTGTACAATTTTAATTTTCAAACAATTCGATGAACGTATCGCGTATAATTACACATGATATTTTGATTTACCAAAAAGTTTATAACGAGGAATTTTTATTTATCTTCAAGAAACTTGTCGAAAATCCTAGAGTTTATTCTACGAAAATGATATCGTGCATAATATGCGGCGCTGTCATGTTATATCCTTATTACATTTCCTCGCCATATAGTTTCCTCAAACTTTAATCTTCCATTTCGCATTATCATCAGATCACTTGACACTTTTGAGTAAATTAACAAAGTATCATTATCATTCACTTTCATACACGTCGCATCTTCTTCAAATGTATACGATAAACGGTATAATTTTTCCCAAGATTATATACAATTCCCCAAATTTTCTACGTTTAATCATTGAAATGCTATTTCTCTGCTCAAGTTTACAAAATGTTAATTTTCACCGATATTATCCCTTTATTTCCATTATACCTCTCGTTACGCTTATTATCAATCGCGATAATTAATTATTTCCAACACCCCAATTTTCATTATCCCATCTCAAAACTTGTTTCAAATTTTCCAAAACGAAATTACGTAAAGATTCGAATGCATCGACTTCCTTCTTCCACGAAAAAACCACTCGAAGAAAGAAAACCCTCGAACCCGTCAACTGTTCAAATCTACCACTCACGAGACGCTTAATCCCATCACGACCAGTATCAAACTTTATCGCGGCCTCGACACAAACCACCCTTAACACCCCCTCCCTCCCAACTCAACAAAACTCTCTCTATCCCCCAACATTTCGTTCAACGCCACACCCCTCCCCTTTCACAACTGTGAAACCGAATGCCGACACTTTCATCGAAACATCCCTCTAAACACAGAACTAAGAATACCACAAGTTATTATTCACCACGACGACGGTCCAACTTCCTTCCATGGCACACACTCCAAGTCAGTCGCAGGTAAATCGTGCGGAAAACTTGGACGGATCATAATACTTGGAAGATCCTCCTCCTCCTCCAACGTCCTCCGTGTCCGGTGTTTCCCTCCCTGCCCAACTCGATATCTCGCTGTGAAAGGGAGAGATCCACACGTCCGCGGGGACGTTTGAAACCCCGCTTTTTCTTTTTTTTTTAATTCCCTTGGACGGCCATTGTGGGGCCGGTTTGAAAAAAAAGCGAGGCGGACCAGCTTTTTTCCCGGGCCCGGGCTATGAATAAACTTTTCAACGGCGTACAAGTGGCGCTTCCGGGTGCGGAGCCCCGGCTGAATTCACCGCGAGCCACTGAATGTCAAGTAACTGTTTTCCCTGGGAAAAATTCATCTTGCGAGAATTTACGGCGACTTTTTATCGAAGAGGAAGTGCCGACCACTGTGCTCGGACTTGGATCGAGGGAGGAGGAAGAGGAGGAGGGAGGGAGATCGATTCTTTGACGGATGACGGCTTTTGAAGAAATTTTATTCTTCTTTTTTTTTTTCTTTTTTTTTATTATTGTTGGGGGTTATATAAAGATGATCCTTCAAGAGTTAAGATACTTTTTTTGGATTTGACAAAAATTTGAAGAAATGGTATCTTCTTTTTATTATTAGTATTATAAACGAGATATTTTTATTTATGGAACCAGATAAATAGGATTCTAATCTTGTTACGACGATAGATGGAAGATTATTTAGAAGACGGTGTATGAAGTATAAACGAGACTCTGGAGGTAAATATCTCTGCTTGGCAGGCTTCGGTAATTGGAACCGCTTTCCAAAGATCATTGTTTGCAAGGATGTAGCAAACTAAGAACTACACCATACCTAGAGCAGTTTAGACTAGACTTTGCGAAAATCCCTTTGGGTCTCTCTCTATTTAGACTATTGGATTACAAATACAAGTTACTTTGATCCCAAGATCTTCGCGAACGACTACTATATTTCATAATGATTAAGTAGTATCTTACATAAAAAAATATACACGTGAAAATTTGCGATACATTTGCAATTGGAATCTAATATCCGATTATATAATAAATTCCGTTGAAATGTTCAATAAATTTGTAATTTCTTCGTTGTTTAAATTTCTAATTTTTTTTTCTTCTTTACGAGCAATTTCACGGGTTAATGAACCCGCGTGATAAAAGTAAAGTCTCCTAAAATTAACTGGGTCCGTTGCACCCAGTCATCGTTCACGATAGCTATTTTCGT